CTGGGATTCCTGTGGGGCAACAAGATGTCATGGGGCAGATGGAAACATAACTCTTACATTAATTCCTTCAAAAATCCGAGCAGTGTTTCTCAGCAGAAAACAACTCCCTGGGTGCAGGGAGTACGTGTATTTGTTCTCCCTAAATAGTGTGCACTTGATGCCTGGCAAGCCTAGCTCTACCCAGGCAGCATGAGGTGAGTGACTGGGTCAGAGGATAGGACTGCACCGTGCCTCTGAGTGTATCAGAGGTAAAAGCAATAGGGCAAACCCCAGGAGGTAGAGGCTGCTGGGTTTGCATGGCTGTAGGGTGGCCCTGGCATGGCCCTGCTGTGCCGGGTAGTCTGTATAAGCTGGCTTGCTTCTGAGGAACAGGTTACAGTGTGTTTTACAGTACCGTTTTACAGACTCAAGCTGAAGAGCGCTCCTGCCTTGGGCTTCCAGCTCTGCTTCTCCTCATGCTTGTATATTGGGCAGGTTTGTTGCTTGGATTTGCTTAGAGGCAGACAAAGTATTGGTTGCTCTCATTTGATTACCTGTCGCCGAGGCGTCGTAGGGGCTGTGGATGCCTAGGAAAGGAGCAGACCCAGCCTGAGTGAAGCGAGGGACACCCTGGTCTTGCTTGTGCCTGCCCGAGGCAGTGTGCAGCGAGGCCCTCCGGATGCTGACAGGAGAGCGCCCTGGAGAGCGCCCCAACTCCAGAGTGGGAACTCTAGGCTTCGCTCCCGCTTTTTGCCTCTGAGACCTTCAGTAAATGCCTTAATTCCCTATTGGTCAGGACACAATGTGGCTCGCAGCATGCTCACTGCTTGTGCTTTGCTGAGCTGGGTTTTTGAAGCAGATGTGGCTGGAGCTGCTTGGACGGGCCTTGCTGGGAGGGCACGGCCCTTGGGACCTGTCTCTGGGGAGAGCATTGAGGAGCTCTCCTCCTCCTCCTGGCACCGGGAGGCTCCCTAGCCGGGTCCCTGACACCCTCTAGTGGCAGCACTTCTTCCATTTATCACTTGAAGAGCTCTCACAACTTGGGTGGTTTGTGCGCCGCAGCCCACCCACCTCCGTGTTCCTGCCCCAGTGGCCTCGGCAGCAGCTTGTGCTAGGGGCGAGTAGGTAATGCCGTGTGTCCTGCTGCTTTTTAAGGGATGTGAGTGAAGGTTTGGTGCTGTCCGCTCTGGCCAGCATCAGGAGATGGGCTCACGGATGGCAGTGGCCAGCAGGTGTGCCCCGAGCGAGCGCGGTGGGGCTGCAGGGCAAAAAAAAGGCCCGGCGGGCGGGGGTGAGCCGTGCAGCGCCCGCCTGCTGGCCGAGAGACGCGGGGCTGCACAGCGCGACCCAGAGCGCGGGCCGGGGCGCCCGGTGAGCTCTGCGGCCAAGTCGCTCAGGTCCACGAGGCCGCACGTGTGCGCTGATGTCCTTGGAACGTGAGCCTGGCGCCTGACTGGAGAGAAACCTCCCTTCGGATACGCGCCTCTCAGCGTGTGATGCCGTGCCCTGAAAACAACTACCTGTGCGGAGCTCCCTGCTTATTTTGCTCTCCGTGACCTTGTGAGAGCCCCAGATGTTCCAGAATGAAATGCTCATCAGGTTCCTGAAATGAGGTGTGATGTGGCTCCATGGGTATTTTCAGAGCGGCATTTTCCCCTCTCTCCTCCCCCCATCTCCCAGCCTGATGGGCTAGACCCATCTTCAGCATAACTAAAAAAGTCACTTGTGCATCGCTGGCCAAGCGTGAGTTGTGGTGTCGAACGCAGGGCCTTTCCCTGGTCCAGCAACGCAAAGTACTTGCCTGTCTCTCATGACATGTCATCCTGCAGAAACCAGGCTTTCAGAAATTGGGTTTTCATTTGGAGAGTGTGTCTCTGGTCCTTCTGGTTATGACGGTGCCTAAGTGTAATCCCACACCAGAGTGATTCAAGACCATTGCCTCAAGCTTGCATGCAGCCTGAGAAAATCTTACTGATTCATCTACTTGAGATGATATGGCTGAATTCTTTTTTACCAAAAGCACGAAGACTGCAAGACAGTGTGTCAGGCATTGCCTGTAAAACTACAGCCCTCAGCAAAACACTACTGCCTTCTGCTGTGGTTTTTATTGGTGGTGGTGGTGGGTTTTTTTCTTTCCATGAGTGTATTTTGCAATACCTTGCACATGTGGTATAAAAGGTGATAACCCTCTAGCCAGATTAGGATCTGAAAACCATGAAGTCATGAGTCCAGCTGGCAAACCTGTGTGTGGGTCTTTTTGCAGCCACCACCTGGAAAGGCTGAGCAGGTGCTGAGCAGCAAGTGACTCCCATGTCCTCCTCTCCCGATGAGGAGGTGGGCTCCAAGAACACGTTCATGCAGCTGCTATTGGGCGGGCTTGGCTTGGGGCTCAATTTTTGAGCTGTGCTCTGTATTTTGTGGGCACCATGTGGCCCCAGCTTGCAGGCCAGGTTTATGCTCTGTAATTAAGCATATAGTGGCTTGCTCTGCAGAGCCAGGGGTGTGCCTATGTAAGAAAGCACATGGGCTGTCCCTCTTGGTCTCAAGCAGCGGCACTGCTGGGTGGGCACAAGGGTACTGTGGGCAGGGGTATGCAGAGCTCCCAAACTGGGAAGGAAGGTGGGCAAGTAGTCTCTACAGAGCTCAGGACTGCTGGAGTGAAAGGTGTTGGGGACTGGGCTCCTGTCTGGCAGCAGGGAATCGCCCTGCTATTCGTTTCTCTAGCTGTTTTCACCTTGTAAGTTGTTGTGCGGAGGCTGGTGTAGGCAGCTCTGCCTTTGAAGCAGCTCAGCAGGGAAGTAACTCAAGCAAGATGAAGATCAGATTTAATTCATTTAAATAATATAAGAAAAAGTTTCAAGAGACCGTGGCTGGAGGGCAGAGAGAATGGAGCTGAACTGCTCTGGAAATTATTCAGGGAGGTTTTAAATGAGGAATTTAAATCTCATCATGCAGGAGTCAGGAGCCAGGAGGTTTAGTTGCCGGCAGTCGCCACTGCTTCGGAGCCCGAGGGTAGGAGGGAAGCGCGAGGCACGCAGCTCCCCGCGGGCTCAGGAGGGTCCTTAGCTGGTGGGCAGCGAGCGAGGCGTCGCGCTGAGGGGCACGTGGGGAAGGGAGCAATGAGGAGAGGGGGCTGCCAGACCCACAGCAGTGACTGCCATGCAAATGGTCCTTAGCAGGGACCGTCCCTGCTTGTGGCAGTAAGGTCCCTGCACAGCGAACTCCTGGGGAAAGCAAATGTACCCGCTGGGCGGGATGAAGGAAGATATCGCTCTCCATTCCTCCATCGTGTGTGTCTTCTTTTCCCTCTTCTGTTTTGACTTTTCTGCCATAAATAATTCCAGGTTGCCTTTACTGCAACTCATCGCTTTTTGTAACAGTACCTGAATGAAACAGATGAAATTTCTGGCAACTTAGCTAATTTTGTCAAGTCTTTTAGTGTTGGCAATGCAACTGTTCAGAGATACGTTAATTACATTCTGCCAGTACCTGGTGGCACTAAGGGCATTAACAAATGCAGTGAAGCTGCCTTGTCTGTCTTCTGTGTAGACATGGGGAGGAGGTTTACATTATTCTTTTCAGTGTGATGTCTCTTGAGACATCAAAAGTTTAAAAACACTTTTTTTTTTCTTTTTAAGAAAGTCTGTTGAATTGTGATGGAACTTCTGCCAGAACTAAGGCACTGTACTTGCAAGAGGATGCTGCTGCAACTTTTATTTTTCCTCCTGATTTTAGTAGCTGTTTGCTCTTCATAAATCCAGTTTTGTGATCTTTCCCACTGTCACTCATGTGCTGCATAGAGGAGGCAGGAAAAAGGAAAGGAGAAGGCTCTGGCTTTCCGGAAAACATGTGGTCCGAGACTGAGAGCTCCAGCCCTCAGTCTCATCTGATTGAGCGGCAGGGGTGGAGAGCTACTTGCAGTCAGTCATCTGCCCCTCTGGACGTTATGACCCACAAATCTGGACAGCGTGCTGGTCTGGGGTTTCATTAATCCCTGTGCATTTTGGCTCACCCCGATGTGCCGAGCTCCGAAACTGCCCTGGGTGCAGCATGGCAGAGGGCAGCGGGAGCCTGCCAAGGCCTCTGTCAGAGGGAGCAAGAAGTCTCGTGCTGTAACCTGCCTCCTTCCCTCCTCAGAAAGTTGCTTGTTTGCCCCTGTGACTTCACTGCAAGAGTTTTCACCTCTGCATCTGCCCCATGTGCAATTCATATCGAGTTCATGGCACTCATTTCCCTTCCACTGGTTAATCAACTTGAAATGTAGCCAGCAGTTTTATTACCAAATGCCTTGATGTGTCTGTGTCTCCGGAACAAGCACTGGGCATTTTGCAATTTCATTGCTGCCCTCAACGGAGCCAGCTCCCTCCAAATGCAGAAGCCCCTGTTGTTTTGCTTGAGGGGGTCATTAAAATGTGAAAGGATGTAAACAAAGGAAAGAGGAATTACATTTCCTGACTTCTTTATGAGGGAAGATTAAAGGAACTATGTTTAGCTTGGCCAAACGGTGACTAAGGGGCTGAAGGCACAAACTAGGGCTAGCCGAGTGTCTGCAAGATGTGAGGAGGAAGCAGAGAAAGTTATTAAGTGTGGTCCAGAGGCGTAGGACAGAGCCATGGCTCAGGGAGAAGGGGAGGCAAACCTGAAGGCGAGGCTGTGCGCCGTGAAATACTCGAATGCATAAAGCTGTGCAGTAGTTACCTCTGCAGAATGATGAAAACCTCTGCGCGGTAGCAGGGGCCATTGAGCAGAAATATAAGCAAAGCACTGGAATATATACTGTCAATAACAGTTTTTCCTCACCCAAGGTCTTTGGAGATGATTCTGTTTTTATTTGGGGCTAGATGTGACCTAATAGGACTATGCAGTTCTGCGACTTATGATTAGTTACAACAGTAAAAAGAAACCTCTCCCCTAGCTCTGCTTTCACATATCCGGGCTCTAGTCAGTGCCTCGATTCGGTGTTTCAGAGCTGCTAACTCACCAGCTGTGTTTCTGTCCCCTCCCGGCCCCCTTTGCTGCAGTCATCCCCGACTCGCTGCGCGTCACTGCCGTGCCCCAGACGCTGAACAAGGTGGAGCGCGACTCGCTGGAGCTCAAGTGTGAAGTGTCCAAGAGCACGGCGCAGCACAGCCACGTCTCCATCGCGTGGTACCGGCAGCGGGGCAGCGAGGCGCCGGTGGAGGTGATCTCGCTCAGCCGCGATTTCGTCCTGCGCGCCGGGAGCATCTACGCGCAGCGGCAGGCCACGGGAGACATCCGCTTGGACAAAGTGGGAGAGACCACCTCTAAGCTCACCATCTACAACCTCCACCCGTCAGATCAAGGCGAGTTTTACTGCGAGGCCGCTGAGTGGATCCAGGACCCGGACAAGTCTTGGTATGCCATGACCCGCAAGCGCTCCCAGGGCACCATCGTCAACGTCCAGGCCACTGGTCAGTGCCTCCTCTGTTACTCCTTGCTCAGATGGGTGGTGGGAGAAGCCAAGCAATGGTGTTGTGAGAAAGTGGAGAAGGGCGCTCTGTGTGATTACTGTTGTTGGGAGGTTTGGGTGCTGGCCAGAGCAGTAAGTGGTGCATATCACAGTGCCTTGCTGCTTGTGTGTGTGCTGCTATCCAGCAAAAAAATAAAGTTGTGAAGACTGGCTACAAAGCACTTGTCCATTACATTAGGTTCCTGTTTTATAGTCCGGTATACTTAATGCAGCACTGGGGAATGCCGTGTCTGATCTGGGAACTAATGGCTTCAGACTGTGGTTCTCTGTAGATGCTGGGTGTTTGTGGTCTGCTGAGATAATCTCGGTGGCTTTGGGGTGAATCCTGGAAAGCAGCTGCTCCTAGGAGGGTTTCCGAGGTCCCTTCCTGCTGGTTAGCTGGAAGGAGGCAGACTGGGCTCCCTTCATTCAGTATTTCTTATTGAGGTGTCTTGCTGCCCTGGCTCTCTGATGTGCCTCCCAGCAGGGAGAGGAGGATCTGCTCTCACGACGCCCTCTCTCACAGAATACCCCCTTCCCCTGGTTCTGTCCCACGTGGTGCCAGGGCAGCACAGAGCCATGTTTTGCAGCGGGGAGGGCACCCTTCTCTCTGTGCCTGGCCATACTGATAGATCCTCTGCGGGTGCTTAGGAAGCGCCTGCAGCTGCCCCAAGCCAGGCGCCCTTTTCTGCCTTGTACCCTGCTAGGGAGCTATCTAGCAAAGGCTAGACCGTGTAAGGATGGTCTGTAGGCTGCCCAAGGACAGGGAAGCTGCAGATGAATTGCAACCAGGAGAAACTGCAGCCAGCAAGGCAGCTTGGGTGGCAGCTGCTCTGCCCTTTCTCCTCATACAACCAAAGATCAGAAGCTGAAATGGGAGATAAAACATACGTCTTGAGTACTTGGTCCTGGCACAGGCAATGAGTTTTGAAAAGCCAGAAGATTTGAGTGACACAGGCAGAAAATAAAACTTAAAAATTCTGCAAACACTTCTGTATTGCATGAGACCCCTTGCCAGTTAAAATCCTCTTCCAGCCAATGCTGCAGGTTTCTCTTAGGATTTTGAAAACCTGGTTAATCTTTATCTTCCTCTCTGGTACCCCAAAGTCCCTGTCCCTCAGTGCCTGGTGATGAGAGTCTAAGGGATACCAGACTCCAGGTCACCATCCTGCAATGCCAGTGGATGCTCAGCTAAAAGCAGTTAGAAAAGGCACTCCGCTGTTGAGCGGTGCTGGCTTGATCTTGTGGGATGCTCCACAGGATAAGCAGCAGCATTTTCATTGGGACCAGGAGCCAGGGCTGCCCAGCCCTGTTGCCAGCACTGTGCCGAGCCCACCTAAGTTCTGTGCCCTGTCCCAGTGGGATGGCGGCTGCTTCAGAGGGCTGCGTTAGTCAGAGCCCTCATCAGAGCGCTCTGCTGCTGCCGTCACCACAGAGCTGCTCACACTAATAAAGGCTGGGGAGAAATGAGCAGTTCTTCTTCTCCCCGTTGGCTGGGGAGGCATCGCAGCTTTTCCACACTGATCAGAAAGCTGCCTCTGCTATGCCACAGGCAGACTTGCTGCTTGCAGCAAAAGCAAATCCCTGGCCCCTCCACCTGCATGTTCATGTGTTCAGGGGTTGCTGACTGCACAGGGAGAGGGGGGAAACACAGCGGCAAGCCGTAAATATAGCAAAACTGCAGTGTTAGTGGCTGTCCCTCTCATGAGGTGTGCTGACCTTCCAGGTGTGCCTTGGCCGTGCTGATGTGGGTTGGTCTGTGTTTCCCCAGATAAGGAATTTGGCGTTCGGCTGGAGACGGAGAAGCGGATGTACACCGTGGGCGAGCCCGTGGAGTTCCGCTGCATCCTGGAGGCGCAGAACGTCCCTGACCGCTACTTCTCCATCTCCTGGGCCTTCAACAGCTCCCTCATCGCCAGCCTGGGCCCCAACGCCGTGCCAGCGCTCAACAACGAGTTTGCCCAACGTGAGGCCCTGGGCCAGCTCAAGGTAGCCAAAGAAAGCGACAACGTTTTTGTGCTGAAAATCTACCGTCTCCGCCTTGAGGACAGCGGCAAGTACAACTGCCGCGTGACTGAGCGGGAGAAGACTGTGACGGGCGACTTCATTGACAAGGAGAGCAAGCGGCCAAAGAACATCCCCATCACTGTCCTGCCTCTCAGTAAGTAGAGGTGTGCCCATGCTGCCCGAGAGTCATTGCCAAAGGTTCCTGCTGTGCGGGGCGACTGGCCTGTGAGGCTTTGATGTGCCCAGCCTGAATGGGGCTTTAGTAAGAGGAGAAGGGAGGATAAGAGCTTGCATGATGTGGAGGCTTAAAATCCAAATTGTCAAGTTTTTGTTTTTTTTTAAGGGAAAGGGACGAGTGAAGAAAAAGGGATATGTTCTGTTGTTCTGTTCAGGTTCGTAGGTGCAAAACATGCCCACACCTTGATGGTTGCCCCAAGCTGGCAGATTTGCTTTGGGTGGAAAAGCATATGACAGCCTCTGGTTGTTTTATCACACTGTCTCCTCACCTTCCTCTGCAGGGAGCTGGGAGCTCCAAAATGTTCAGCAGTCTTAATGAAGAATCCTTCTTGTCCATGTCTTATCTTAAGAGTTGCTGGCTTCCTGGAGAGGTCTCGGAGGCTGTTGTTCAGTCATCTTGCCCGACTGTTCTTGTGCAGTTGCTTGGGGCTGTGTCCTGTGCTGGCAGAAACCAGGGATCACGAGCTTCTCAGGGCCAGGTTTGCTGCTCAGCACAGAGGTCTCACGTGCTCGCTGTGTGTCTGCTAAACCTGGTGTAAACAACCCCATCAGAGGCTAGTCTGAATGCCTTTTATGTTGGTCAGATGAACCAGCACCACCAGAAATAACAGCAAGGGAGAAAAGGGTCCCGTGACTCGTGTCTTCTTTGTCTCACTCTCAAATTCAAGTAGACTTGACATGGCAAACCATGAAAGTGTTGTCCAACATACCCTAGCAGTGAGTTTTGACCAAACAAAGGAGTAGCTGTGAGAGGAATTTGTATAGTGTTTACATCCTATCTGTTGGTTTTGTAGGGA